ATGGCAAGCAGCCCCAGAGCCACACGGTTCTAGGGCTGCTTGCTGCCCCGCAAGGCAGGGTGCAGGGCAGCCAGAAGGGCAGAGATGGAGGGGAGATAGGCGGGTGGGGGATTTGGAGGCAGTCCCTTACTTTACTGAGGCTTGGGGCTGGAAGGGACCAAGCCTTGAATGGGTTGGATTGGGGTGGGTACATGCTTAACAACCCATGATTCTTGGTTAAGGATGGCAACCAGGACTGCCAGGATTGCAGTCTCTAAGCAATGCAGTCACATGACATCTTGCTTTATGACTGAGTGATGGAAATTCTGGTCCCAATTGTGGTCGTAAGTCGAGGACTACCTGTATTTAGCCCCTGTGAATTAAGTTCACGTTCATATATTCCTCCCTTTTTTCCTGTGATGCAGCTGCAAAAATATGGAGTGCATTTGCCTCCACTTTTAACTAACTGCACCTAGGCACTGAATCTAAATTGGGAGGAATTATTGTTCACTTTAAACTTGGTGTGTAATTTATTTCCTAGCTTTTTCAGATAAAATGTTTTGTTTCTTTAATCAATTTATAAGTCATCTCCATTGCTGAGGCAACTCTAAGTGACATACTACCATATAATAAACATAATTTAGAATCCAAACAAGAAAAAAAATCTCTTTGCTTGTTTGTAATTAAAGCTATCTACATTTCCATGTTTTTACATAATGAAAAACTGCAGTTAGTTGAAAATATAGGCTAATATTTTTAACTAGCTTTCAATGATGCTAAAGGAGGGAAACAGAAGTTGGAGGAAGCTCACACACATAGTTTTGAAGTTGCCAGAGATCAAAGCTACTAGATAAGTTGTAACTAATATCTGTTGAGTAAAGTGGTAATTTGATAAGAAAGATAGTGTTGTGGTTAAGGTGGATTAGAAACCTTGAGTTCTAGTCATCCCTTAGGCACAAAAGTTGACTGGGTGTCCTTGAGCTGGTCACTCTCTCTCAGCCCAACCCACCTCACATGGTTGTTGAGGCACTGTACCTTGAGGTACAAAAAAAAAAAAAAAAAGCTGGACATAAATATAATAAATAAAAATAATAGATAACTAATTTCCAGTACAAATCAGAATGTGTATGTTGAAGTAAGTGATAACATCCCAGATAGAGTTGTACTGTAGATAACTCTTGCTTTCCTTTTAGGCATTTTTCTAAGCGTGTCCAGGTTTCCCTTGCTTTATACTAAGGTTATTTTCCCCCCAAAAGCGAATTTGCATAAAGAGAGACACTGAATTAGTGGAAAAAGGCAGTTGTGGAATATGGTGTCAAAGTTTATAACCGCAATGCATTGAGAAATGTGTTCATTAATTTTTAGAGCCTTATTCTTAAGCACTATGTCACTCAAAAATGTTTTCTTCCTTGACTCATATTCCATGTATAATGAAAGCATTTTCTTCCTCTTTTCTCCTACTGGATTTCTAATGTGCATGGTTATCATGGCAGACAAAGAGGTAGAATGCATCATGGCACTACAAATGCTACTAGCTTTCTTCTTTATGTTGTGTATAGTAAATTCACCCATGTTAAAAGCTTATCCTAGGGCCGAGGATCATTCACCAGCTTTGGCATGATATAATACATCCAACTTTGTTTCTAGTGCTAGAGAGGTCCTTTGCCTTTTCATTTTGGACAAGTTGTTGATGGCCATTTTGATCCCATAGGAACAGATATGGAAGAAAGTGGAAGACAAGGATCCACAACCACAACAACCACACAATACAATGGTAAAAGTATGAGGGAGGGCAGAAAAGAATTTTGGCAGGAAAATGTTCAGTTTTGGCATGTTACAGGTAGTATATTTAAAACCACAGTGTGTCTGCATTTAAGACAATGGAGTATGATGCTTCTGTGTGCAATATAAGTGTTGCATTTGGCTTAGGATGAAGACTGAATGGGCTATTAAGCAGATTAACCTTTGCTTCTACTTCAGAGATACTTGATTTGGAACATTTTTGTTGAGAATTTAACTAAGTCTCAACTATAACTTTGACCTCTAAAAATAACAATGGATTACATAGTAGCTGTAACATACTGGTCCTTGGTACAACCACATAAGAGGAGGAATATTCCACTGGAAAATATCATCAAACTGTAATTCATGTCTCTCTCATTCTATTTGCTGAGTAGGGAGTATGAACCTAACTGGGGAGATTCCATATTCCAGCTATAATACAATGTGTGGATAATGAACTGCATTTACTCTGAAATTTGTTCTTGCAGTGCTGAAAGTATCAAACAACTTTTAAAAAAAAAATAAGTTTCACACTGAATAAAATTTTACACCTCAACCTTACAGAAGTAACTATTTCGTACGAAGATTATACTAAAAATCTCCTAACTTTGTCAGTATATTGTGGAACTGCTAAGGGATGTGTGGATAGGCTCAGATGTGAGTATCTGCAGGAAGATGTGTCAAAATGTGCAAGAGGACAAGTGTGGTATTATGACTGAAGCCCCAGCCTTTTGTATGTGCATGTTAATACATTTGGAAAAGGGCCTTTGACTGCCACACCATGCCACTCATTCTGCATTTTTTGATCCTCCGTGGATGACATTGACTCAGAATCTCCACAAGCATACATTATGAGGTTCATTTAGTTTACAAATTAAGATATAGATTAATTTTTAAAAAATCACAAAAAATGATACATGTTTGTTTTAACATTTCAGCGTATCCAAGAGCCAAAATAAATACTTTTTTTGTTTGTCAAAATCTCTCAGAGGCTCTCAGGCATATATTTCATCTTCCTGCTATTCAATGTATTTTTATGCTGTTCCTCAGAAATATGAAACATGAAATTGCCAATCTAATATACTCTTGTTAAGAATTATTGAGGATGAGGCCTTACTTATTATAAAAGTAATAACAACAGGCAGATAAACTGGTATCATGGCCATCTGTTATATAATCCTTCAGACAAGGCACACCAAAACTCAAACATGAAGCAGACTAAATCCAAACAGAACTGTAATCTCAGGAAAATACACTTTTTGTTAATTATTTGAATACATAAAATTCAAACCTAGATATCTCTTATTCATACATGGAAAGTTAAATGTGCAGGAGTTTCAAGAACTTTGTTGGTGATGATTGTTTCTGCTTCTGTTTCTATGGAAACATATTCTGAATGGCTACTCATGTGATAGCATTCATTATAAAATAGACTGCTACAAAATACTGGAGAGATGAAGCTTTTAGTTTAAATCCTTTATTGAAACATCTGCAGTAACCTGAAATACAAATGGCTAGAATAAGTGCTTTTCAATGAATCCAAGCGTGAGCATCCATAGAAGGTATTTCAACACTTGAATTCACTGATGGCTATCTTCTATCCTATCCTTCTTGAAATAGTCTTAATTGTCCTTGGGAAGTGGTGGGGAAGGGACATGTATTAAATAGGAGGAAAAGAGTAAATCAGTTTATACCGTTGTCTAGGATTGAGATAGACATCACATACTTTTAAGTATAAATGAGATTCCATGGTTGCATAGATCCTGTCCATTGATTTGATGTAGTATAGGCATATCTTGCCCATTCTAAAGCATTCACTATCTAAAGTGAAAGTGGTTATGAAAAGTTACTATTTTTAATACCCTAAAATTATCTGAGTTTGAATTATCTTGTTTAGATAATGTCTCCTTCCATAAACACTCCTGTTAATTAATTACTAGTGTTATCCCTGCTTCAGATTCCATATTGGGAGAAGTCTGAACTGGCTTAACAAGAAACAAAGCTTTTTTCACTATAAACTGCACTTCACGGGATGCCCACCATTATTTCTACAAGTTGCTTTGGTTCCAGAGTGAGCTTATGAATATGCTCACTTTTCCTGGAAAACGTATCTGTTGCTTTTAACTTGTAAATCAAAACTTTCTTTAATACATTTTCTGGATATTGTCTAAGTGACCTAGGTTATTCTAATTCATTGGCTCTGGTTATAAAAGATCCTGATTTTCTTGACCAAAGATGTCCATGGTTTCATTGAATAGTTACAAATTATGACTTATATTCATTGGCCTAAAAGAATTTGAAGCTTGGCCTACCTAGATTCCCTTCTCCTAAGAAATGAGCTAATTAAGAGTGGAAAGAAAAATGGTTGGGTGAGTTAAAATTTCAATTATACTTGGAAGTGGGAAAATTTGGTGGGAATTGTGGAGGCATCTTTCTTGTATAAGAGCCCTGAAGAACCTAGCAAGGGGACAGTATTTTGGAGACTCTCTCATATATGTAAATAAAAGCAAATATTACAAAACACTGTTAAGACTTCAATAAAACAATTAAAGGACTCTCAAACTCCTGTAGTTCTTACTACCCAGAGAATTGGGGTGGAAAAATGTTTGGACCCTAGTTTACAATTACGGAAGATAAATGTAAATGAAGTTAGATCTGTAGCACTTCTAGTAAAAATATGTCTTTCAAGAAGATGTACATTTTAAAATTGTGAAATTTGGTGCAGTTTTAAATGGTGGCAAATCTCAAGCTTCCATTTTCATGCATTTTACACCACAATATTCTAGTACCAAACAGTAGGTCACATGAAAATAATAGATTATACAATTATTTTTCATAGAAGTGTTAGCTTATTACCAAATTGTCCCAAGTAATGTAACTGTTCTAGATTTAATGAAGCAGCATGGAATTAAGCTATAGGATAATGATAAGAAAGTACCACCATCATACAAGAATTAGCTGTAAAAGTTGCTCAGAAAAGGCTTGCATGGAACTTGATATACATCGGACAATTATAATTGGCAGTCTTCAATTCTTAGCAGGTGACCTTAATAGGCTGGGTACGAACAGCTGTAAACAAATTAACTGCAAAACCATAATACACAAAAGCAAATCTATATATTTATTCAAAAATAAATATTTATTTAAAAATATTTATAATCTGCCCCAATCCATATGAATGCTCACAAAATATAAATCTGTAATATGATTCTTTCATCCAGCAACATTTTGTTTTGTAGGATTTTGAGTTAAATAACGAATTGAAGATGAGTGTTCTTAATCTGCTAGAAGAAGTTTTGAGAGACCCTGACCTTTTGCCACAAGAAAGGAAAGCTACAGCAAATATCCTGAGGTAAAAAGGATCTATGAGTTTCATCACAGAAGTATTATGAGAGAAACAGAAGTGTGATAGATTTGGATGTTTAGTTTCAGTGTATCACTTTAAAGGGGGGGAAATACAATTGCTTTTGTTACAAAAATGTGCTGCCGAGCAACTGTTTCCTTGAGAGTTAAAGCCATTTTAATCTTCTTTCTCTAAGGAACATATACTGCAAAATTATACTCATGAAGAATTAGGATCTTTTAATTCTTCCTTCCACCAAAAGTTTGGCTGTAAATTAAAAATATGCGAACATTCTAAATATATTATATAAGCAATTTGAGCAGCCGAGTCCCTCCAATAACACGTCCAATCCACTTGTTTATATGACACAAACAGTAATTTCCAGTTCCAAACAGTTCGGTGCTACAATTAAAAAGCCAAACAAATACTTCAACCGTTTCCAAAGAGGTAGAGCCAAAATATTCTTCTGCAAGAACAGCTACAAAAAGCTTGGGTAGTACCTTATACAACATGATAAACATGTTAGTCTGAAGCAGTGTTTCTGAACCTCAGCAACTTTAAGATGTGTGGTATTCAACTCCCAGAATTCCTCAGCCAGCCATGGGAATTCTGGGAGTCGAATACCACACATCTTAAAGCTGCTGAGGTTCAGAAACACTGGCCTTGAGAGCAGCACAAGACTCTGTTGTTTCTGGTACTATTTGCCCCAGCCTTCATCCTCACTTTCAGGCAGGACTGCTCTACAGAAAAAATCAGGCTTATATTGCTGCCTACATGATTGCCTAAACACAGTTACATTAAAGCATTTGTTACCTCTACTAACAAGTTGGTAAATGGTGGATCTGAGAATCAATATCAGTGGATCTGCAACAGATTAACCATAAGTATTCAATGCATGATTTTTCATAATTCCATGTCATCTTGGAGGAAGGTTTTGCATAAAGTCCTTCAAATCTCTCTCGGTCCCTGTGCTGTTTTATAAATGTTTGGAAATAGCATGGAATATTTCCAGCATGTATTTATAGAGTACTAGAGGCATTACACTTAAAAATCATTCTGAAAATGCAAGACTTACATGGCATTAAACTCAGTGGAACTTATTTCTGAAGAAACAAACAAGGAAAAAAAAGTGATTATCAGTTATTAAGTATTATATCAAGACAACAGTCATTATGATGCATCCAGTAAGATCTTCTCAAGGAAGCTTTTGGTCATATCCTACTTTCTTGAAGTAAGGGGAAGAGACCCAGAGGTGCTGTGTCTTAGTTGCTGTTGTAGCTTTGCAGAATATCTCCCCTAGAATTAAGGCTTGCTACATCCCTTCTAATGTTCCAGAAGCAGCTACTGAAGATGTAATTTTTCTGTGAAGCATTTGGTTAGTTTGTTCTTGCTATCTTTAATTTAGTTCATTTTGAATGACTTATACTAATGTATTTATTTGTATTACTTTAATTGGTTTTCTTATTTATTTTTCATGTTATTATAATTTATTCTTGATTGCTGCAACTTTGATTAGTTGTTGTTTTAATGTACTTATATTTATTGATTGTTTTGTAAACCACCATGAGTCTTCATTGATTTGGCAGCATACTAGTGGAATAAATAAGCATATATAAAGACTTGGAATACCTACAGAGTAACTATTACAAATAGCGCAAATGACTGTAGAAATTTCATTGCTATATCAAATATATCGCTAATTGTTTTTAGGACACTTTCTCAGGAGGATCAAGATGACACACACTTAAAAATAGAGGCTATAATGCAGATGGTGAGTTCGTTTAAATAAATATATGTTTGATTTGTTTTTCATTTATATAAATTCAGCTTAATCTCTGGAAATGATGCTTGACTATTCCATCGTTACTGCCTTTATTGCATATCACTGTCTCTTATATTTCCCTTTGATGGCAAGGTGTTTCAACTGTTCAATAGTTAGAAATAGTGAAACAAAATAGCTATGAACATGAACGTTGGCTTGGTGAGATGTTATGCAAAATGTGGGGCTTTCATTTCAATAGACAGAGGAAGTTGGTTAAAATGGGTCATATCTGTGAGAAATCCATTTGTATATCATTACTCCAGATATTTTATTACACAAAGTATTCTTTATTTACTTACTTATTTATTTATTTGTATAGCCGCCCATCACACAGAAAAGTGACTCTAGGTGGCGCACAATAAAAAACAATCATAAAATCAAAATATTAAAACAAGTACAACTAAAAAGACATCAGGCAATATTATTAACAACAAGATAGTAGAGAAAATTGATGTTAAAAACAATGCAGCCATCTCATTAGATCACCATTTCCTTGGGATCCCTAAGCCTGCTGACACAGTCATGTTTTGAGGACTTCCAGAAGGATATCAAGGATGGGGCCAATCACACCTTGGGGAGGGGGATGATGTTTCACAGGGCAGGTGCCACAGCAGAAAAGGCCTGTCTCCTGGGTCCCACCAGATGAAACTCTTTCACAGACAGGACCTGCTGTATACCTCTTCTGCTGGACCTGATGGGGGAGGCAGATGTAATCTGGTGGAGGCAGTCCCTCAAACAACCCTCAAATAATTATTTAAAATTGGAGTGGCAATTTGCAAGTGAAAACATAAAAACATATTTTTTAAAAAGTGAGAATCTGTTAACCATGGAAGAGTTATTTATGTAGAGGAAATATCAAGTTGAATTTGAAGCACGGAAAGTTTTAGACAGTGCGAAGTGCTTGATCTAACAGTGACAGCAAACTCCTAACTATATTCTTGTTCAAGATCCATGCATATTATTTACTGTATTAAACTTTATTTTCCTATTTTGTTCTAGGAACATGAATACTTTAGGATTCTGCCCATACTATGCATTTTTATTTTAAGAATTGGCTATTATCTTTTACAACTCCTGCATATCTATACAAACCCTTTTTTTAGTAATATCTATTCATCTGAGTATTTTATTGCTTTTAACTCAGATGGAGAGTCCAGCAGGACTCTTCCCAAAATGGAACTGCAGAGAACCATGAGGAGGCATATACAGAATCTGAAGATTTATAGACCAACAAGAAATACTTAGAAGAAAAAAAAAAGAAACCCAAATACAACAGTCCACCTCAAGAATAGCCAGGTCCTGTCTGAGTAGCCAGAGTGCTGTTAGTTGAAATGGGATGAGAAAGAATAGCATGGTCTATTGGAAGAGGGCTGGAATCCTGAACTGCAACACTCTACTTTCATGAGAAGATGCAGATACACTGCAATAGTTTGTTGCTTGTTTTATTACTTACTGAAGTCATTTTTAAACAGTAGCAGTACAATATACTTTGTGAGGAATAAAAGTGGACGACTTCCAGCACAAAATATGCTCATGTTCTGTATCATTAAATGTCAGTTGAAAGGAGAAAGGAGAAAGGGGAAAAAATTCCTAGAATCTTGCAGAAAGAATTTCGTTGGTAAGAGTTACAAGGCATACTTCAAATCTTGTAACTACAGGTAGTCCTCAGTTACAACCACTTGTTCAGTGACTGTTCAGTTACGACACTGCTGAATGAGAGGGACTTACACCCAGTTACAGTGAGCCACAGTCAGGTGATCACCATTTGCTGGCTTCCCACAAGGAAGGTCACAAGTTGCTCCCATAACTTGCCCCTGCCGCTTCTTCTCCTGAGGAGCCCCACTATGGAGGACAAGATCCCCTCACCCACCTGTCCTCAATAGTGGCCTCTGCTGGCCTGCCTGCGCTCCGTAGTGCCTACCCACAGCCCATGCCAGCCTACCTGAGGCTCTCACTGACCCACCTGTGCCCCGTAGTCCCTGCCCACAGCCCCTGCTGGCATGTCCACACTCAGTAGCACCCACCCATGGCCTACGGCCCACCCACATTCAGTAGTACCCATCCGTGGCACCCACCGGCCTGCTTGCACTCAGTAGTGCCCACCTGTGGCACTCACTCACTTGCCTGCAGCTCTCATCTGCTGGATTGCTTGCCTAGGACTCCAGTCACGTGAGGTCCTCTCTTAACAACCTGCAGAGTCTCTGGGTTATGATGGTACCCAGGACTACCAGGATTGCTGTTGCTAAGTGATGCGGTCACCTGATGTTGCACTTTATGATCACATCACTTAGTGATGGAAATTCTGGTCCCAATTGCTGTCATAACTTGAGGATTATCTGTAAGATCCAAAAATTACAGTGAAATTGTTTTATTAGTTTACAGCATTGGGGAACCAATTTTGGATTTCACAAATAAGAGCTCTGGGCTTTGTTTAATTTGTGAAATGCTGTTTTGAATGATTGAGAAATAAGAATATCAATGCCCTTTTGGAAGAACTCTTAACTTCTGAAGTCTTAATGTATTAATTTTAGGAATAAAATAAAACATTAAAATTTTGAGAGAAGTTCATTAATATCTATAAAAAAGATAAACATTTGTAAAGCTGGGCAAATAATCTATCAGCAAAAGGGAAAATTCGTTATGGAAGATTATTTTTTCCCCCCTGTGTACTGTATTTTATGTTTAATTTCTGTTGAAATTAGTTCAACGAGGACTTGGCTGGACTGTGCTCCAAATAACTATCTCTCTTTCATAACAGAGAGCTTACTTACATAAGCGCTTTTCCCCTTCATGATTTTCCTTTCACAAATGATAAAAACTGACTGATAAAATTGATAAGACAGCTATTAACTTAATGTTGTATAAAACAAATGAAAAGATTTAAATTCCCTTTTAAACAGTTTGTACATGTATGTACATATTTTTACTTACAGCTAGAGTGTCCAAAACCAGAATGCTTTGAAACACTATCAGCCATGGAACTTGCTGAACAAATAACTCTCTTAGATCACATTGTTTTCAGAAGCATACCTTATGAGTAAGTGATTTTCCAATCATTATTATGGGCATGAAAATATGTTTAAGCAAAGTTTTGGATGATAGAAGGATCCACAGAAAATTGGAATGGATAATACATACAGTGGAATTGGTACAGATGGAATCGGTGCATATCTCTCAGCATAAATGGATCATGAAAGTTGATATCAAAGCACAATAAAATAATAGCACAATATTTCTATGCTGTTCTTTGTGAGCAGGATACAGTTTGTTTTCTAAAAAGGCTAACATGTCTGTACATAATACAGCTCCAAAGAACCAACAACAAACTTTCTGTATGTGCTTCCAATTCAGGAAGTCTGTAGGTCAGATAGCAAGGCCATTAAAGGCTGAATATATAGTGTTCCGGGAAGGAACACTCAAAGGTAGAGCATACATTCTGAATAAAAAGGTGCCAGATTCAGTCTGTAATATCTCTAGATAAAATTAGGAATAATCATTTGTGAAATTTTGGCTTGAAAGTCTGGACACTACTTCCAGGCAGTATTGCCATACTGGGCTAGGTAGGTGAGTGCTCTGATTCAGCAGAAGGTGACTTCATGTTTTCCTAATGTCTGCACCTTTTCTGCTTTCTAAATCAGCAAAGGGAGGGCACTATATCTGTCGAGCAGAGTGCAAATCACAAACACTCCTGTTTGTGCAGAGCGCAGCAAAAACTTCAGGAAAAGTTACCCAGAAAAATCCAGTCAGAAAATATATACTAACTGGTGTTTATTGATAAAAATGCAAGAAC